GCATGACTCTCCTTCAGCACTCTGTCATCCCAATCTGTGCAGATTTGATAGTGCAGGGAAGTGTTTCGTGCACTAAATGGAGGTAGAGAGAAATGCAGAAGGTCTCCAGTGTATATAAAGAGCATGCAAACTCAGGCAGTATATCTCTCCTTCTTCCTCCAGAGTGATTTCTTGGATTTTTATGTGTCCTACCTGAAGGAGCTTCCAGACTGCCTGTCAGTTGTCAACATGCTGGCCACCAGCTCCATGAAGTCTTCGGCCTTGCTTGAGGTAACAGAAAAATGTGAAATATGACAGGTTTTGATATTACATTTAAAAGCACAGAATGTAACATGACGGGGCAGAGCAGGGAGGACAGGATGAAAAAGAATACCAGCATACTTCTAAAAACAAAAAAATTCCGGAAACTTACAGCTCATATCACCAAAGAAACCCCAGCATATCTGTCAATTTCTGATTTAACTCTCAGATACTCTCAGAATTGCTTGAGTGGAGGTAACTTAAGTATCTGGAAGCCCTGTCAAGTTTCATTTCAAGCCTTGTTTTATATAAAAGCTTCAGACAAATTATGAAATTCACAGTCCTGACACCTGCTGTGTTTTTCCCTTTGACACTGATTGGTCCATCTGTGCTGCATTGTGCTTGACTGTGTGGTGCTGCTATCAGAGTGACATAACAGGTGATGAATCCAAACCCTCCCTCTACACTCTGCTGCTTCAGCCAGTTCAGAGGATCCCCGAGTACCTGCTGCTTTTACAGGTTGGATCAACACCACTGCCAGAATTGTCCTTATATGTTCATATCCTGCAACACAAACTCATTACAAATACGATACTCTGAAACCATGCAGTAAAAGGTTATCAGTAAACAGAAACAGAAATAAAACGACAATTAACAACTCAGTATTATTACGACTGAAGATTAAATCTGATGTATGAATATTTTAATTGTCTATCTGTGTGTGTGTGTGTGTGTGTGTGTGTAGGGACTACTTAGGCAGACTGATGCAGAGCATCCAGACTACTATCTGCTGCTGGTGTGCATACAGCAGTTCAGGGCTTTTACTACACAGTACCACCACCTCCTCCAGCACAATCAAGAGCTTCTGCTGCTCAACCGCAAGGAGGTGAAGAGGTCAGGATTACCATCCTTCGAAAAATATCAACTTTAAAACATTAAACAAAACATTTTCAGTGTGAAGGAGCTTAATGTTCTCTGTGCTGTGCACCCCTGCAGGTCTACCATGAAACAGCTGTTAAAGACAGTAGAGAGTGGGATTCAAGCCAGCAACACTGGCTCACCGTACCCTTGCAGCAGCGCAATGCTGTGAGTATTCAGTTTACCGGGCATTTAACGTAGTGTTTACATGACTCAGACATTTCTGTTAGACATTAATAAATGAATAAGAGTTAAAGCTAAGTAGATTATTCCTGGAAAGCAACAGACACACAGCCCTGATAGATAAATGCTTAATATTTGTTATTGCTTTCTCATTTAAAATAATAGAGGTATAAAAGCAGTCCCATACTCGCCATGTTTTCCTACCAGTCCAGTAACTCCTTTCAGTATTTCTTGATTTCTTCTGTAAAAAGCTGTCGGGTGCTGCTGTAAACAAAGTTTATTTCTTCGTTTCTTCACTGCAGGGAACATGCCAACCAGGTGAGGCGCAGAAAGCAGTGTCTCCTGGAACAGATTCAGTCGCACCGTTTCCAAGATTGGGACCGAGACCAAGAAACTGAAACTCA